GATGGATAAGGCCTAGTTCGTCACCATTTGGCGCACCTGTTCTGTTTGTCCCAAAGGAGGGAGAACTACGTATGTGTATAGACTACAGGGGACTGAACACCATCGCAATCAAGAATACAGAGCCGCTGCCTCGTATAGATGACCTATTATATTGAGTACAAGACTGTAAGTACTTCTCAAAGATAGATCTGAGGTCAGGTTACCATCAGATAGAGGTCCACCCTGACGACTAGTACAGGAAGGGGTTTAGGACGAGATATGGGCATCACGAGTTCATAGTGATGCCATTTGGACTGACTAATGCACCGACCACATTTCAGCGCTGCATGAACGACTTATTTAGGCCGCGGCGAGATAGGTTCGTCATAGTATACTTAGACGACATCCTAGTGTTTAGCAAGACCCTCGAGGAGCATGAGGGCCATCTGAGGCAGATCTAGGCAAGTTAAGAGAGTCCAACTTTAAAGTCAACGCAAAGAAGTGCGAGTGGGCCAAGACAAAAATCCTTTACTTGGGCCACGTATTAGATGGAGATGACATTCGACCAGAGGACAGCAAGATTGCATCGATTAGAGACTGGCCAACTCCTAGAACGCTGATTGAGTTACGATCATTCCTAGGATTGGCTAACTACTTACCGGAAGTTCGTGAGGAACTTCTCTACGATCGCTGCTCCCCTTCGTAGACTATTGAAGAAAGAAGCAATTTGGAAGTGGGACCAGGATTGTACGTCGGCCTTCAAGAAATTGAAGAAGGCCTTAATAGAGTACCCTGTCCTCAAAGTTGTTGATCTGTCGCTGTCATTTGTCGTCACTACAGACGCCAGTCAATATGGCATAGCTGCCGTTTTGCAGCAAGATGGTGGCAATGGTTACAAACCCGTAGAGTTCATGTCAGCCAGGCTGCCCTCAGAGAAATTCGCAGCATCGACATATGAGAGAGAAATCTACGCTCTTAGGCAGGCCCTCAACCACTGGAAGCACTACCTGCTTGGGAGGCACTTTAAGGTGTATTCAGATCATGAGACGATTAGATGGCTAAAAACACAGGCCAAGATGATGCCCAAGTTGACTAGATGGGCTGCTGAGATAAACCAATTTGACTTCGAGTTGAAGCTTGTAAAAGGAAAGTATAACGTGGTAGGTGATGCTCTAAGCCGGAGGCCGGATTACTTCGGCGCGATAGTGCACTATCTAGACATAGGGGCCAATCTGCAATAGAAAGTAAGAGATGCCTATGCACAGGACCCGATGTATAGTGAGTTGCTGAAAAGAGTAAATGAAGCCCCAGATAGTGAACCGCACTACCGAACGAACGGGTTATTGTTTGAGAAGACCAATGTCGCTGACAGGCTATGCGTCCGCAACAATGAAGAGATCCGTAGTCTGATCTTAGGGGAATGCCACGATACAGAGGGGCGCTTCGGATGGCAAAAGACTCTAGCTAATCTGATGATGTCATACACGTGGCCAGGCATGAAAGCAGATTGCATTGAGTTTGTCTGCAGTTGCAAAGTATGCCAGCGTAATAAGACAACGACTAGAGCACCATTAGGTCTTCTCAGACCCCTGCACCACTAGGTCTTCTCAGACCCCTGCCTATTCCATCAGGACCCAGAGAGTCGGTTTCCATCGACTTTATGGATATTGGGGTCAGAAGTAGGCATGGCAAAAGTCAAGTTATGGTCATAGTAGATCGATTTAGTAAGTATGCAGTTTTTGTTCTGCTACTGGCAGAAGCGCGGACAGATTTAGTAATAGGAAAGTTCTTTGATTTCTGCGTAAGTGAGCATGGCATGCCGCTGTCCATAGTTATTGATAGGGATACGCGGTTTACTAGCCAGAATTGGCAGGATCTTATGAAAGTCTATGGATCTAAGTTGTTGATGTCGTCTGGACGACACCCAGAGACGAACGGCCAGACAGGATTAATAAGATCTTGCAGCAGCTACTCAGAATGTACATTAGACCAGATCAGGTGAACTGGGATGAGATGCTCCCCAAGATAGCAAGTGCCTATAATAACAGTGTTCATCTAGCTACCTGTAGGACTCCCGCCGACCTTCACAGTTTCAGGTAGGCGACTTAGTCTGGGTCAAGTCTAAAGAGTTCGCACCGGAGGAGAACATCTCGCAAAAGCTCTTACCTGCATACAAAGGACCATGGCCTGTCCTAGAAGTCAAAGGAGGAGAGGACGGGCCATTATACACTATAGACATTCCAGCGCATCTCCACACGTACCCAGTCTTCCATGCGTCAAAGCTGTTGCGACGCACCACCAGCGACAGATTTCCTTCGCTAAGGTCAATGATTCCGCCAGATATGGATGGTGCCTATGATATAGATCGCATAGTGGAAGAGGACGTGTTCAGAACCAGAGAGCGAGGTCGTCCCCAAAAGCAATACAAAGTCAGGTTCGCATATCAGGAGCCAGATGACGGCAGGTGGTTTACTAGAATAGAGCTATTAGAAACCGCTCCCGACATAGGACACGCCTATGAAAGAGAAAGAAAGGGAAAAGGTCCTATCTTGAGTTAGACTGTTCTCGGAGGACCTCAAATTTAGGACGGGGGGAGTGAAATGGTTTCACCCAGTTGACATGACATTGCAGACACTGAGATTCGATCCCTAGACCTATGCCTTAACCCTGCACATTGACCCTGTGCGCTGAGTGAGATTCGATCCGTAGACCTGTCCTGTGTCATAGGTTAGGCTGTAGGAAGGGAAGTTGGGCTTGATCCCTAGGTCTGTAGGTTAGTACTCAAGTCTGTTACCATTAGCTTAGGAAGGTCTGTTCTAGAAGTCTCTACTTTCCCCTTTGTAGGCCTAAGAGTCAGTCCGTAGGTAACAGTCCATAGGCTCTAGGGTCCAGAAGAATCTGTCCGGAAGAGTGTCCGAGTCAGCAAGTACCTGGGTAAGGGCTGCACGTGGGGAAGGTTTTGGACCACGCAGAGAGTTCCACACGTTTTGGCCAGTGGGCCACGCATCTGGAAGTTTCCCAGGCGCACGCGTTTTGGCCCAGGCCCACGCGTTTTGGGGCAGGGCCCGGCCACTTCCAAGGAAGTATAAATAAAGAGGCAGCGTCCAGCCATTCATTCGTTTGCCTGGGAGCCATGTGGAAGTGCTGCTTCAGTGACTTGTGCGTGGAGGTCTGCAGGTGCCCAGAGAGGAAGCGGGCAGCGAGCAAGACAGCGGCCATAGCTGGCCAGTGAGGAAGACGACGGCAGCCATAGCCGCCCAGCTGTTAGTGCAGACAGAGTGTACAGAGTGTGTGTGTCTGTGTAGCGTGGACATTCAGGGTGATACATGCTTGCATGTGGGAGTGTGAGGCTGGTGGTGGAGACGGTGTTCGGCTGCCATAGCCGCCAGTTGTACAGCTGACTTGAACAGAGTTTAAGTGCAAGTTCATTGTTGATTCTGAGTTGAAGAGTTTGGTTTTGCCATCAGTTCACGTGTATGCATGTTGAAAGCAAGGTTGGAGTCGAGTCTGATTGCACCTGGGAGCAAGTGGGATTTTTTCTTTTTGTTCAGGGCTGGGCCTAGCGCCACCCCACGGCATGGGACAGTTTTTTTTCTACTGGTCCTTTGGATGGCCTGTGTCAAGCTTCCAAAATCTTAGAAGAGGGCTCAGTCGGATTCTCAACTTGGCTGGGGGCCATGTACTGGTAGTTTGAGAATTGTGCGTGAATCCCTCTGCCGATTTGCACGGTTGAATGTTGAAACTAAACTAATTGCTAAATGATTTCTGCATTCGCCATGATCCGGACAACGAAGGATGGAGCCAACTTGAAGAAACCACATTGATGAATGATTATCTCATCAGATGAGCAGAGGAGATTGTCAGCTTCATGAATAAGACATCATCATCATCATTACGTCATTTCTTGAGATGGGGGGAAGGAAAGACTGAAATCATTGCAAGTCAATGAAATAACACTTCCATCACATCTACTGCTGTGCGTTCAAACGCCAGAAAAATTAGATAATTGCTACGGTACATTCGCGGGTGCTGGGGTCCTGGGGAACCTGCCCTGAAGCCCACCAATTGCATGACAGTGCATGTCCGGGCAGGTTTCCCACACAGGACCCCGAGCTCAGTTAGTGCCTGGCCCGAGGGAGAAGCAGAGGGGGCGAGGTGGATCCAATAATGCAAGGCCGTCAAAGGCCTCAACCAGTTTTTCTTGGCCAATCCCCACCTGGAGAGAAAAACTAGTGCCTCGGAGGTCCTTTTTTTTGGAATTCGTTCCAGAGAATCTCTCTCCATTAGTTCATTCATTTGGTGAGAGCGCAAGGAATTAGTTGAGAGCGGACCTTGTTCTCCAACACTGTGAACAGTAATCATGAATTATGTTTGATGTGCAGTTTACCTTGCTCCAAAGAATGCTTGCTTGAAAGAACAGTCTTTCCCTTTGTACTCTTTGGTGGCAAGGGAAAGGAGGTATGTGACAGCGGACTTTGGCCCTCCCTTGTGAAAACTCGTAAGTGCTCACCAGTTCTGAACTTCTGACATCTGGCAATCAACAGAATGAGGACAGACTTTGTTGTTTTGGCAGTCCTGCTTCTTCCTCTTGGGGTGATAAGGCAGGTGGAAGAAGATGGCACATGCTGTCATCTTCAAAGTGCAACCCTTCTCCCCTCAAATCTACTCCACAAATTCCTTCAGAAACAGTGTTGGCTTGGTATCATTGGAGCATTGGAATTTCGTCTGCTGAGATTTCTGAAATTTCTCAAGATTTCTGAAATTGGAATGTTGGCGAAATTTCATGAAAGTTCACTTTTGCCTTGCTGTTTTATTATTTTATAGTAAATTTATACGGTTTTTTTTTTTTGTTTTTTTTTTTGCAATTAGGTAGTATGGTCTCCACTCTATGAAGCGGTGGCAAGTTTGGTTAAAATGACCCTTGGGTTTTGTAACTTTTGTTATAAATGGCATGTCAAGTTGTCTGAAAATTTGGGCCTCCGTTAACTTGCTCTCCATGTGAACGTGCTTGTGATTTGCAGAATGTCCGGTTTCTTCAGCAATTCATCTCGGAGACAGGGAGGCTTACTCCTCGGCGCACCGTAAGTCTTATCCTCAGCCTCTCGTCTTTCCTCTTTTGATTCCCTTCCTTCCTTTCTATCATGTGCTCTCCTGCTTTTGTGTTTGTTCTGTCGCGTTCGTGTTCAGTCATCCAACACGTAGAGAATCAGATTCTTCCAGTTTCTTTGTCCAATTTGCGAATTTTGCGAGCGCTGCAAGTTTCGTTTCCGTCAATCCAAAGAAACAAAAAGTTTGATGGGGAACAACTGGACATCGTCATTATTTCTCACCCTGGCCATACCAGGCACAGTGTGTTAACAGAATCCAGCTATCCTGTGCCCGATCTGGCAGAGCACCCGAGCGCACTATGTACTGCGCATCTCATGATTCAGAGGTGTTATATGCGACTTCACACTTGCTGGGCGTGGGTGGCTTGGGGGTTCTGATTGAGATTGTTGGCATACTTTCTCCTGTCCCTTCTGTCTGTCTCTCTCTTTGGTGACCTCTGCTTACTGGTGAATCAGTTCATTTGCACCTCCATATTCAGCGAAATTCTTCATACTAAGTTACCACTACCCTTATAGGATATGGAGTTACAAACTCCATGCTGAAGCTCATATGGTAAGAAGGGTCTCTATGTTTACACGACTCTACAGTGAGTCTTCTTTCACTCATCCTCCTCCCACCTCCCCTACTTCTCCTACAGTGAGTCTTCTGTCAATCATCCTCCTCCCACCTCTCCTCCGCTTCCTTCTTGTTGCTGAGGCTGGGTGAGCATTCACAACGGCGAGCAGTAGGGATATAGCCTTTCTGGTTGGATCCAGCTGATTTACGAAGAGGAAATGACCACGCTGCCATTGAAAGGCTTAAGAACCCCCCCGAAAAACCTTCGAAGAACATCCTATGATGTGAGCCCTTGTTGGTATATGGTGGAAGTCAAGCATCCAAACGACATCATACACATAGGCAGCTAACCCTACACGTCAAAAAGACTCTTTTCCTTTTACGTCGTTGAAAATACCAAGTCAGATTTTTTTATGGCTTCTTGATGGTGTTAATGATAGTGCTGCATTGTTTTCATAGTATGCGATGATGTAGAAAAAGAAGGAAGGAAGGAAAGAGATGGAGAAAGAAAGATGATGTATCAACATGAACCGCTGATAGAAGCATCAGTAGCAGTGTCCCTTGTTATACAATGCCAACTTTTGCTGTCAGAGCTGGAAAAGCGAAATAGTGTGTGGAAGCAAAAAGGAAGAAGTTGGAAAACTAATATTACAAGATGCGATGAGGAATGGCAGGTGGTCCCTGGGAAACAGAAAAACAAGCGGAAAGCAACAAGGGGACAAGAGAACACAGTCGGAAGAGGAAAGGGAAGATGGAAGGGTAAATCATTTCACCCTCTTGACCAAAGCGGGGAGGAAGGAGGGGGCAGAGACCGTGCCGCAGAGACCGTGCCGCAAGCAGACCCCGATTATGGAGCATGCAATGCAGCCAACGCGGGGGTTGCCCCCAGAGTCAAAGGGGGGGAGTATAGAAGGCAAGGGGGAAGGAGGAAGGGCGCAGCAGACGGCATCTCTCAAGCAGCAGGAAGGAGAAAGAGGCGCAAGCCAGCAGGCGGCGCCAGAAGGGCAACAGGGGAGGAAAGAAGGACGGCAGGATGCGGAAGGGCAACAAGGGCAAGGCCTGGGGGCACAGTCACAGTCTAGAGCTGAGATGGGGGCCCCAGACCCCTTTTCTGATGCCTTTGGTCCACAGGCCATGGAGGTGGACTCCCTGCCAATGCCCCCGGATGTGGTGATGATGGACAGGCAGTCTGACCCCGACATGCCGCTGCCAGAAGAGATGAACTTGGATGCCAAGATGCAGAAGATCGCAGACTGGCTACTTGACAATCTAAAAACGTTGCACCCGCGGGAGTCTGAGGACTACTGGGATCAAACTTGTGTCCAGTTGCATGCACTGCTGGACGGTAGTCCGACACTGAGGGGTGCACTAATGGACGGTCCCCCAGTGCACATCACATGGGCAGAAATCTTCCAGCGCATCCTCACAATCACAAGGGCCAGGTTCCGGTCACCTGGAACCACGGACACGACACAGCATCCAGTAGCAGAGGGGCAGGCTGGGCAGCTGGTGCAAATGGGGGACCAGGTCCTTGGCCCCACGGGACACCAAGTGCAGGGGCAGCAGAGGTCGCCAACAGGGAAGAACTCTATGAAAGGGAAGGAGGGGAACACCGATGAGGAGGGGCTGATCTCACGCAGGATGAGAATACGGAACTTGGTAGAACAGGGCCTGTATGAAAGACCTTTTCGAAGAAGGATGGAGTGCTGGTGCTTCCATTGAGGAAGACCGATGGAAGATGGGAAGTGGGGTTGTCACCCGCAGGTGGGGGGAGGATAAGAGCGGAAGGGATGGGTCACACTGCAGGGGTGAGACTTCTCGGTTGACCGAGAAGACCTCAAAGGGAGGGACGCTGCCTTCACCCGCCAAGCCGGGGAATTTATCCTTAAAAATTAGACAGCCAGGTACCGGGCTGTCACAAGGGTCGGCGGGAGCCGATTCCAAATCGCTCCAACTGATCTGTACGTCCTCTTTGACCACTCCAACTGATCTGTACGTCCTCTTTCACAAAGCTGCGGGACTGCGATGGCACAACCACAACTCCTTACTTGACATGCAAGGAATTAAAACCAAGGCAGTGCAATACTGGCCAGAAGAAGATGTCTACAGATGCATATGGGCAATAGTCTGCCATGACATCTTGACCTGGACAGATGGGATCTGCGGCCGTGGCAGCCACTCCAGGCACTGTAGTTACACGCACCTGGCAGTCCCCAGGGGCAGGGAAGGGAGCGCATTAAAAGGATGATATAGACACCTGCGTAGCACGGCGAACCTGGTTGCGCCCCTCCATGTTAGCGCGAATGTGTTCGCGCGTTTGCGCGAACAGCTTGCAAAAGTGTTCGGGCGAACTTTTTTTTTTTTCGTTAAAAAAAATAAAATTAATTTTCTTCTTTTTAGTTTTTTTATTTTTAACTCACGTTTGGCTAAGAATTTGAACATGACTCCAAGACAAAAGTTGTGTGTATTGTTGTTTTACATGACATATTTGTTTCAGATTTTTCTGAGACTTTTTTTTCTTTTTTTTTAATATATTTTTTTTTATGTTCGATTTCGGAGAGTGTTGGGCGTTAGTTCGCGTTCGGGCGAGAACATGTTCTGGTTCACCTCCAAACGTGAACACGGTGCTACACAGATAAACATATTGTAATGCAGGAACCTGGCCTGGCGATACTGTGTGCGGGCGGCCGACTTGGATCTTCCCTCGATCAATGTCAATGGCCTAGCAACCCCGAACGCAGACAAATGACAGGCAATCTGGGACCAATTAAAAGGTGTAGGGGGGAGGAGCTGGCCGGATGTGGTGTGCGTTCAAAAAAACATCTCCAAGACAAACCAGATCATCACAGAGCCCACAGGATGGTATGGCCACACACATTCTTTGAGCCCACGCTCCAGGCCCAGGTACGGTGGGAGTGGCAAGCTGGCTCCCTCCAAACTCAAAGGTCGCAAATGATCAATTGGGCAGCTGACGAGCTGGAAGGGAGATGGGTCTCCGTGCTTGGAATGTTGGAGCTGGAAGTGATTGCATTCTATGCATTTATGGCCCAAATGCGGTGAGAGAAAGGAGGGCCTTTTTCGGTAGCTTGGGAATGATGGTTCCGAAGCGGATCCCTCTCGTCATTGCAGGGGATTTCAACGCAGCCCCGGACAGGTGGCTTGATCGCTGGAACCTGCAGGTGTCCCCTTCGTACATGGCGGAAGAAGATGAGCAGATGCTGGGGGAGCTATGTGACACCCTCTCAGTATTTGACACGTTCGGCCGTCTACACCCGAATGAACGCACCTTTTCCTGCATACGGGACAACGACCCTGCGAGGTGGTCAAAATCCCGTATCGATCCCATCCTCCTCTCGAGCGATCTAGAAGGAGCCCTTTGACAGCGGTTATCGTCCCAGGGAGCCCCCATCCCGGACTGGACCACAAAACGTGTGGACTGGTCCTCACAACGAGGAAGCAGCCAGACCAAGGGCCGGGCTACTGTGAACTTAAACCACCAGTACTTGGCCCAGCTATTGGCCACGGGCCCTCCCCGTTGCTGCGCCGACACCTTCGGGGGTCGGGAAGGCCCGGTCGCTGCTTGAAGGCCGGGCCCCGGTTCACTTGGCACAACACCAAAGAACGAAAGAACAAAGAAAGAAAAAAAAAGATTCAAATACACAAAAATTAAAAAAGAAAGAAAACGAAAGGTAAAAAACAATGTCACA